CTCTTCACATCAGGTGGCCAAAGTATTGGAGCTTCAGGTTTAGCATCTGTCCTTCCAATGAATATTCAGGGTTGACTTCCTTTAGGATTGATTGGTTTCATCTCCTTGGAAGTCCACAGGACTTTCAGGAGTCTTCTCTAGCACTAGCATTTGAAAGCATCAATTCGTCAGTGCTCAGCCTTTTTTATGGTCCAACTCTCACATCCGTACACAACTACTGATAAAAACATAGCTTTGACTATACAGACATTTGTCAGCAAAGGGATGTCATCGCTTCTTAATATACTGTCTAGGTTTGTCATAGTTTTCCTTCCAAGAAGCAAGTGTCTTCAAGTTTCATGGCTTCGGTCACCGTCCACAGTGATATTAGAGCCCAAGAAAAGAAAATCTGTCACTGTTTCTACTTTTTGTCCTTCTATTTGCTATGTAGTGATGTGATCAGATACCATGATCTTAGTTTTCTTAACGTTAAGTTTCAAGCCAGCTTTTTCACTCTCCTCTTTCACCCTCATCAAGAGGCTCTTTAGTTCCCCTTTGCTTTCTGCCATTAGAGTGGCATCATCTGCATATCTGAAGTTGGTATTCCTCCTGGCAATCTTGATTCCAGCTTGTGATTCATCCAGCCTGGCATTCTGCATGACGTAGAACAGGGTGACATATACAACCTTGTTGCATTCCTTTCCCAATTTTGCAAAAGTCTGTTGTTCCAGCATTGAAACATGTATATTATCTAGAGTGAAACAGATCACCAGCCCAGGTTGGGTGCATGAGACAAGTGCTCAGGCCTGGTGCACTGGGAAGACCCAGAGGGATCGGGTGGAGAGGAAGGTGGGAGGGGAGACCGGGATGGGGAATACATGTAAATCCATGGCTAATTCATTTCAATGTATGACAAAAACTACTGTAATGATGTAAAGTAATTAGCCTCCAACTAATAAAAATAAATGGAAAAAAAAAAAAGTCTGTTGTTCCATGTAAGGTTCTAACTGTTGCTTCTTGACATGCATACAGGTTTCTCAGGAGACGGGGTATTCCCGCCTCTATAAGGATCTTCCATAGCTTGTTGTGATCCACATGGTTAAAAGCTTTAGTGCAGTCAATGAAGCAGTAGTAGATTTTTTTTGGAATTCTCTTGCTCTATGAGCCAATGAATGTTGGCAATTTGATCTCTGGTTCCTCTGCCTTTTCTAAATCCAGCTTCTACATCTGGAAGTTCTCGGTACATGTACTGTTGAAGCCTAGCTTGAAGGATTTTGAGCATAACCTTACTAGCATGGAATATGAGCGCAACTGTCTGGTAGTTTGAACATTCTTTGGGATTGCCCTTCTTTGGGACTGGAATGAAAACTGACCTTTCCCAGTCCTGTGGCATCAGCAGAGTTTTCCAAATTTGGTGGCATGTTGAGTGCAGCACTTTCACAGCACCATCTTTCAGGATTTGAAGTAGCTCAGCTGGAGTCCCATCACCTCCACTCGCTTTGTTCTTAGTGATGCTTCCTAAGGCCCACCTGACTTCACCCTCCATAATGTCTGGCTGTGGATGAATGAGCACGAGGCTGGGATGCGCCAGGTTACCCAGTCATTAAGACCTTTTTTGTATGGTTCTGTGCACTCTTGCCCCCTCTCCATATTCTCTTCTGCTTCTATTAGGCCCTCAATGTTTCTGGTAAGGACCAGATATTTTCCATTATTTTCCCATTCAGTAGGCTGCCTGTTTGTTTTGTTCATGGTTTCCTTTGCTGTGCAAGAGTTTTTTAGATTGATGTTGTCCCATTTATTGTGGCTTTTATTTCCCTTGCTTGAGGAGATGGATTCAAAAATATACTGCTAAGACCAACATCAAAGAGCATACTGTCTATGTTTTCTTCTGAGAGAAGTTTTATGGTGTCAGGTCTCACATTTAGGTCTCTAATCCATTTTGAATTTATTTTTGTATATGGAATGAGAACATAGTGCAGCTTGTTTTGCACTTAGCTGTTCAGTTTTCCTGACACTATTTATTGAAGACGTCATCTTTTTCCCCACTGTATTGTTGCTGACTCTTGACATAAATTAATTGTCTGTGTAAGTGTGGGTTTATTTCTGGGCTGTCTATTCTGTTCCATTGATCTATGTGTCTGTTTTTGTGCCAATTACATACTGTTTTGATGACTGTAGCTTTGAAAGTAGTTTGAAATTGGGGAGAGTGATACCTCTAGCTTTGTTCTTTCTCCATATTTTGATTAGAGTATTTTGTGTTTACATACAATTTTTAGAATTATTTTTTTCTAGCTCTTTGAAAGATGCCTTTGATATTTTGCTACAGATTGTGTGGAATCTGCAGATTGTCTTGGGCTGTATGGTCGTTTTAACAATATGAATTCTTCCAATCCATGAGCATGGTATATATTTCAATTTGTATTGTCATTTTCTGCCATCAATGTCTTATAGTTTCCAGAGTATGAGTCTTTTACCTCTTTGGTTAGATTTATTCCTAGGTATTTTATTCCTTTTGATGCAACTGCAAATAGGATTGTTTTCTTAATTTCTCTGGTAGTTCATTATTCATGTATTGAAATACAGAGGATTTCTGTAATATTAATTTTGTATCCTACAACTTAACTGAATTCATTTATTAGTCCTAACATATTTTTGGTTGTCTTTTAATGATTTTTCATATATAAAATCATGTCATCTGCAGACAGGTTTACTTTTTCCTTTCTAATTTGGGTTTCTTTTATGTCTTTTTAAAATTTATTTTCATTTATTTATTTTTGTCTGATTGCTGTGGCTAGGACTTCCAATGCATTAAGATTGTCAGTCAGTTCCTGCTAAAAAAAGAGAGACAGAGGCTTCCCTGGTGCTCCAGTGAATAAGAATCCACCTGCCAATGCAGGAGACACAGGTCTGATCCCTGGTCCAAGGAAGAACCCACAAGCCTTGGGGCAGCTAAGTCCTCGCACCACAGCTGCTGAGCCCACACTCAGCCCAGGAGACACAGCTGCTAAGCCTGTGCGCCGAGAGTCTGTCATCCACAACACGAGACGCCACTGCAGTGAGAAGCCCGTGCACCTCAACGAAGCAACTGGAGAAAGCCTGTGGGCAGCAACAAAGACTCGGCACAGCCAATAAATACATACATTAGTTTTTTAAAAAGAGGATAGAAAACCTGGGGGTAATTCTCCTTTCTGAATGATGAATCTGAATTATTCTCCTGAAAAAAATTTCATTGAGTTATTGCCTAATTTGTAGTATTTAAAGATAAATAATCCATGGTGTACATACAATTAAGATTTCTTAAAAATAAATCCAGAATGTGTCCCAGACTCAAATATAAACTTATTAGTTATAAGCAATTGAGTTGATCTATTAGAGTCCAAAATACTGAAACATTTGTGCTCCATGTGTATAAAAATCTCAGTTTAAGACTGCCCTGCTGTTGCCAAGTGCACAGCCCTACAGATGCAGATCTTTTCAAGATTTGATGTTCCAGGCATTCAAATATTTCCTATTAAACAGAAAAAGGAGTCCCCATTAATGGATCAATCCATGTTTGAGTTTTTAGGTAACATCAATATAAATAGCCTACATAAAATTGAGAAGCTCAACAGAAATCTTTATTTCTTTCTTAAAGAAATAAATTCAAGGTTTTATTCTCTGTAACTTATTCTAGTCATAAGTATTACACTCGAGAAGTCATAGTTTTTTTTTTTTTAATAATAAACCAATTCTACTTATTTAACTACTAAAAAAGAAATGTATCACTTTAGCACAACAAATACAAAAAGTTCTGAATCAGGACTCAGTAGAGATATGCTTTGCTTTAGGCTCTGCCGTACCTGTATGACCTTAGGCAAATCATTTGACCTCTGCAGGTTGAGCTCTGATGGGCAGACTTCCTTCCTTGGTTTAACAGGATGAGACTGCAATTAGGTAAAAGGCCCCTAGATGGTGGTGGTGTTCTGAGTTAGGCTTTGTATTTCCCCTACACCCCAAAATTACAGTGACGCATAAAGGAGTAGGTTAGAAAATTATTTCCTATTTAGTTCTGAAAAAATTCACTGCTAAGGATTCAATTAATGACATTCAAAATAGCACTGAGTTATGAATCATATGATCCAGTTACATTTGATATTAATTAAAAGAAATATACCATGAATGATTATATTAATACCAAATATATCTTTGTAATTAGCCTATATCATCAGGTGTATTTATCTAAGCTTAAGAAGATGAACAAAAACTAAACAATTATTGTTAAGAGTATTGATGCACAACAACCCTATAGAAAAATTAATTTTTTTTCAAATGCCAGTTCTAACAAATTTTGATAAATGTACTGATTTTTTTTCATAATGAATATTTCAGACTATTAAAAACCTATGATTCCCATGAGCACAAATGACATTAACCGCCCCTCCCCAGTCACATAAACTAGAGCATCTTCTAAAGAAATCTGCTGTCTTTCAGTGTTCAAAAGGGTAAGAATTAAATTACTTCTCTAGTTTAACCCACCAAAGAAAAAGGATTTGGAGATCCTAGTCTGTGGTGGCTTAGATGAACAATATTAGGTTTTCAACTAAAATTCCTGAAAAGAGCAAGAATACATTTCTATTTCTCCACTGTGAAATTCACTGAGTATAAAAGTCACGTTCAATCAATATGCAGAAGAAAAAAGTACCTATGAAAACCTACACCATGCTACATTTTTACTTCTCATCGGTTGAGTAGGTAATAAATGACAAAAAATGTAGCATGATGAAGTGGAAGACATATAACTGCAAATTTTGTTTCAACAAAGATTTTTTGTCAATAAATTAAAGAGGAAAGATATTTGGATCATAGTGGCTCCAAGATAGTATTACTATTACATGAAAGTTACCCCATCCATCCAGCCAACCAACCAACCAACCAACCAAAAAACCTCTATTGAGCCTATATGGTGCAAACGGCTAGAGATAAAAAGATAAGATATCATCTCCATTCTCAAAACCTCAGTTCAGTATTCATGAGAAAAGGACTTTGAAAAGTTCAGTTCAGTTTATTATAGTGTCAAGTAGATATACACCTATTGCACTTATCATTCTGCTGACAGAGGCCAGAGGAATATTTTTCTCCAATAAAGCTAGGTTTTCCTGATTTTCAATATAAGATGTTAAGATTACACAGGCAAAGAAATATACCTCATGCCCTATCCCAGTTCCCCCGAGTCTCACCTTCCTGCTGTTATACAAGCTTGCTGCAAATAGGAATTTAGTTGAGACAATGCTTTAAGCCATCCACTTTTTATGAAATTACTCTTGAGTGGTATTTGACCAGTTTTCTTTATTCCATCTTCTATACCCAAAACATCTTAAAAAAAAAAAACAAACAAAAAACAGCTCCCATAGCTCAAAATCAATTGTAACCATATAATGGGAAATGAACTTTAATCAAAGACAAGGTAAGTCTCTCCTCCGTTATAGAACCCCACATGGTGTTCACATAATGGTTTCATCACTTAACTGCCTAACTTTTTAGACAATGGGAACAACAACAAAAGCAAAAAGGCGGCCCAGCATATGAAAATCTTCTCAAAAACAGAAGAAAGTTATGAACATTGTTAGGAAAGTGTTTTACATTTCCAATGAAATTCTATTCCATTGATCTGTTTGAAAGATTGTCTTCAGCCAATATATTTGGCTTCAGCCCAGAAGCTGTAATTGATTCGGTCTCACAATGAACCACTTTTTAGCTTTAAGACTTTTATCTTAGGCCTGGAGTGCATAACAATGGATAGCAGGAAAGTGGTTTTTATTTACTCTTAAAAACTGCAGGGATGAGCTAGGGGGAAAAAAACAACCCTGAAAGTATTAGCCTTCAGATTCTCAAATTATTTTTAGCTCTGATTATATTTGGAAGAATGAGCTGGGGGTTTGGCATTGTTTCCCATCTTAACAGTTGCTCTGTATTTTGAGATATATGTATGTGATTCATAATGTACCACTGTTACAAGACACAGCTTTAATATATTACTGGGGTAACACAAAGAAAATGAATTTTTCTTTGAGTACCAGTAATTGTCAAAAGAATGATTACAGAATCAGAAAATGTGCTTTATAATAACCCTGTTAACATAAAGTATACACAGAGGAAAGAAATAAGTACTGCAGGTATGTGAAAGAGTTAGTTATATTAGCAAGGCTTTTCAGGGTGGTTTTGGTTCTTATGACCAAGATGCACCAAACTGTAACCACTTTCAGACACTGGGACAAAGGGAAAACATCTGGCAACACAGGAGCATTTGGTGACTGTGAGCTGATTCACCACATGCTCACCGAGGCTCCACTAGTCAATGAACTACTCCCTTCTGAAACAAGGCTTTGCCCTGGTCATAAGGATAATGCTCTCAAGCTGTTAGAATTAATTCGAATGTCAAAAATGAAATTTAGGTTACCAACCATCGCCTGAGAGTTACAGCATGTAGAATAACACATGACCTCTTTTAAAACTGAAGTGAAAAATGAAGCAGCACGGTTAATTTACTTGTGCTGATGAACACAGACGTCCCAGTGCAGGGTTCGCTTCTGAGCGTCCCAATGCTGCCCTGTCGCCAGACGCTCTGCCGGGGGGAGGGTCTGCCTGCCTTGCTCCTGCCTGATGTCCTCCTTGGTAGAAACGGGCTCATGGGTTTCCATGCGCCCGTTTCTAATGCGAATGAAAGCTAACTACAAAATCAAGATGTTTTCTGCTTTCAGAAAATTCTAGTATACCGCATACAGCATCGATATTTCTTTCGGTTTAAAAAAATAGTGCAAAAACATATCTGATAGTCAAAGTGAGAGTTCAAGTGAGTTTTTGTGCCAAGGAGCACAGTCAAGCATCACCTTTAGCTAACTTGTAAAAACTGAATGTACGTTTTGGGAAATATTCCAGATTTTCCCATCAGTTCTCCACTCATCCAGTCATCATCGACAGATTCCAGCTCTGTTATTATGTCTCCAGCCTGCAGGAAAACAGGAATTGGAAATAATGATTACGTTTCTGTGGAGTGTACACATGTTAAGCTGCTTCTCTTCCTCAAACCCCATTCCTGTCATTGTCACCTTTGTTGCGTTTCCTGGTTGTATTTTGTGCCCCTCAAATTCACCACTCCTAATCTAAAATTCTTCTTTAATAAATAAAAATACCAGCTAACGTAAGTATATATATATAAATTTTTCCCCCAAATAACAAGTATTTATCAGGCACCCACTACGTGTCAGACACTCTTCTAGGCACTATGGATACGGCAATGAAGAAAGACCTTATTCCAGAGCTGGGAGACGGTAACTGAGCCAGCGGAGGAGGGCAGAAAGTGTGAGCTGCCACCGCGTCAGGGCAGTCTGGGAAGGCCTCCCCCAAGGCGACTCGCAAAGGCCTGGTGACGAGAGGGCGCTGCATGCCCACTGTGTGTGTGTCGTGTCCTTTTCTATCTGCTTTATGGCAATTAACTCACTTATTTTATTTTTTATCAAAATAAGAACAGTGAAAGTTAACTCATTTAAACAATACTGCAGTCCTAGAAGTGGTACCATTATTTCCCCATGTTTGAGAAGTATTTTTAGAGATTTCCTTATTTTATAGAGAAGGAAACTGAAGCTCAGAGGGGTTCCGTGACTGGCACAGTGCTGCATGTGTCGTTAGTGGTAGAAAGAGGATTCAAATCTGGTGATTCCAGGGCCTATCCAGGAATCATAATGGATAACTTAATGTTAACCATCAGGCATGAGGTCACCACATTATACAGTCTACCTTTTTACTTAGAAAGGTTTTTACTAAATTGGCCTTTTCTCAGCCTCCTGAGCATTTTGTACTGTACATTTATTCTTCCACATAATGGTATTCTCCTCCACCATTTGGTGCATTCCACTCCGCCACGGCCTCAGTATCAGACTGCACTCTTCCTGTCCCTGACTCAGCACATGATTGTCTTCAGGGGGCTACTCAAAGGGTTGTGTGTCTTATTCCTGTGTGAATTATATTATCTCAACAGACGAAGACATAAGTTTTGAAATTATCTCCTGAAACTATTTTGTTCTTTATGGTTTCTAACCATTTCCTGGAACCTGAGTTTAAGATTCTATAATGGTCCAAGAATACCCTGGCTACTTTTAAGGATATGTTTATCAGGTTAAATGGATTTATTCTATAAATCCTAGGACACTGCTCTTTGGAAAACTGGTTTAAAGTCATTCTTAACGGAAAATGGAAAGGGAAAATGCTGACTATCCAATGTCATTAATTTAGTTTACTCTGCTAAAATGTGTAAAAATTTTGGCATTCAAAGTTTCCATTATAAGTTCCTTCTGGTTCCTAAATTATAATCCTTGACTAAAACTATTTTTCTTAGTTCTGGTTCATACATACATACATATATGTCACATCTGTTTTCTGAGAGCTAGGACAATTTTTAAAAAGTTTTATTTACTAATATTATGTGGATATTGAATAAAATATTAATGATCAACAATACTGAAAATGGTACAGCATCCCTTAACTAAAAAACTCCAGAACTATCTTGCTCACAGTCAGGCATTTGTAAAATGAAGACAACCTATTTTCTGGATGATTATACTGACATAACCTAAATTGAAGGCCAAAATAATACCCAAAAAGTCTGAATCCAGAGAGTTCACTTGCAGTAACAGTATACTTGAGGGTAAAAGGAATTAATTTTGAGACATTGACTCTCAAGATTGAAAAGGACTAGGGCAACAGTTTCTAAATATTTGGATTTTATGGACCAAGAAATTAAAAAGAAAGAAAGAAACATATAGGGTTACCAATTATAATTTTGCATAAGAAATATGTATCATTTACTAGTAATGTTTTATAACAGAAGCCACATTTTAGTATGAAAAAGAAATTCTCAGAAGAAAGTAAACTCCATCACAAAACAGAAAAGTTAGCAACCTTATACTGACATATCTCAGCATGCCCACCTTTCTCCATGGCTCCCCTAAAGCCTCCATATCCCCAGCCATCACTGTTTTCCTCATTTTGTTGTAGACAGGTGTAAACCTTATGTGGGTACCCACTGTCTTAAGTCTCATCTTGTCCAATCACTCCTGGATACTTCAATTCCCTCTGTGGCATCCCTGCTCTGAGTAGCTCCAGTGATGGGGAATCCCCACTGCCTGACAACTCTTCTGACGGCATCTGGCCCAAGACCAAAGCACTACCGTGGGTACTTTCCTCTGACCACAATCCACCTGTGGATGCAGAAACAGGATCATGCAAGTATTCTGTCTGAGATTAAGGTTAGGCTGTAGGGTTCTTAAGAAACCCGTCTCAAAGCACCTCGATCTTTTGGGATCACTACCCTAGAGTCTGTTCAGTATCTCTGTGGACAACGCTCTGGGGCCTCATGGCAGTAGGCCATCTGCAGTAGGGGCCACCTGACTTCCCCACGGATTTCAAGACGTGACAGCAGCAGGCGGCAAGGGCCATGCAGAGGATCAGCCCTTCTTTACTTCGGCTGAGCTGCGCGTCATGGGATCTTAACTCCTGAACTAGGGATCAAACCTGTGGCCCCTGCAGGGGAAGCACAGAATCTTAACCAGGGGATCACCAGGGAAGTCTGAGGACCGTCCTTTACTAGGGTTTCCAGTGAAGCCTCCAGCATTAGTGAGGTCACATGTCATAAGGCTGAGGAATAAGGAATTTGTTAGGCAACTGTGGGTCTAGCAATATCAATAAGACTTCAAGTACCTAACTGCTCTGCTGATAAGATACATTTGCCCTAGTCACTTCTCTAATCTCATCCTTAAGAACAAGGGTCTGAGATCTGTTCATTCTTGATCAATGATCAATACTCCATGCAAGTGTTCACTCTTCAGTGGAAGACATTTCAAAATTTACAGCTGCTTAATGCAGTTACAAAAAAGATGCACATTCTGACCTTGAAGGAAAGCTCATCTTCATTCTCCCCATGGAAATCATACAAGGCTTTGGCCTTCCTCCCCTTCAGCGATAAAGCAGCCATGCCTTTTGCCTCAGCTGTGAAGACACCGAAAATTCAAATACATAGAAAGACATTGACTAAAACACAAATCAAACATTTTAAGAAATCCCCCTTGTCATTTCCAGGACATAATATTTTCAATTAATTTTGAATTTAACTTGCAAAAAGATGTTCTCTTAGCAGAAAAAAAATTATACAAAATATATTCAGGAGATAAAACTAGCCATTATTGATTAAAGGCATCTTTACCTCTTTTTCCCCCATAACTTCAACAAATTATATGCAGAAAGTTTGCATAATCTTATGAATTAACTTTCAAATATAGGCCAACAACTTAAATTGAGCATGGCCAGAGGGAAAAGAAATCTGTATCATTTCCAAGGTCTTGGGGTCCCCTTGGAGGGTAAGAGCCTCCCGGGCAGCAGTGGTACCTGGGCAGGGCCGCACGAAGACAGCGGGGAAGATGCCCTCTCGGTCCCGCAGTCTGCCCTTGTACCAGTCGGAGTCCACTCGCTCCAGGATCAGGATCCGGTCTCCCCTCTTGAAGGATAAGTCCTCACCGGTCTCTGCCATGAAACTGTGCAGAGCTTCGCACCATTCTCCACAAAGATTGTCCTCCTGTTACAAATCAGTTTGGTAAGAAATGTGAAATTTTATTTCAGATTAATTTTCACAAAGCTTAAAAAGTGGTGGCAAAAAAACTAAGGAGTCACAACGTTTCAAAGTCTGAGGGCCACTTTAAATTACTCAATACCTAATGTCACTAATGAATTTCAGAAATAAAAGCTTCCAATGACTTTTTTCTTAAAATTCTAAATGACATGTGATAAAGTTTGTGACTTTTGCTTTTAAGGGATATATAACACTTAAGTAAAATTTTTTTTCTAATTATGGTCTGTGACATTGTGTGTGCTAAGTCACTTCAGTCATGTCCAACTCTTTGCAACCCCATGGACTGTAGCCCGCCAGGCTCCTCTGTCCATGGGATTCTGCAGGCAAGGGTACTGGGGTAGGTTGCCATGCCCTCCTCCAGCGGATCTTCCCACCAGGGATGGAACCTGTGTCTTCTGCATTGGCAGGTGGGCTCGTCACCTCTAGTGCCGTCTGGGAAGCCCATGATCTATGACAGTAGATTAAAAAATTAGATAAAAGTTTATCATATTTGTATATAGTATTTATGACACTATGAAAACATTCTGGCAAACATATAACTTTCTTTTTTTCTTTTTTTTGGCCACACAGTGCAGCTTGTGGGATTTTTTTTAGTATTATTTTTTATTGAAGGATAATTGCTTTACAAGCTCGTGAGATTTTAATTCCCAGACCAGGGATTGAACCCAGGCTCTTGGTATTAGAAGCCCAGAATCCTAACCACTGGACTACCAGGGAATTTCCAAGCATATAATTTTCAGTGAAGATCTTTACCTAAATTAGGAAAGATCAGAATGGGCAGTCTGTTAATTCCCAGGCCTCTACCTGGTGACTCAGCAATAAAGCATCTGCCTGCAATGCAGGAGATGTGGGTTCAATCCCTGGGTTGAGAAGATCCCCAGAGGAGGAAATGGCAACTCACTTCAGTATTCCTGCCCAGAAACTCCATGGACAGAGGAGCTTGGTGGGCTCCAGCCCAGGGAGTTGCAAAGAGTTGGCCACAAGGAAGCACACAGCTGAGTGCTGCACACACAGCTGGCTGAGAGGCTATCGGGTCCCATGGCCCAAGACTGCATTAGCGCACACTTCATTTCACAAGTCACAGTTCACTCCAAGGCTGGCAGGGTAACCACCCGGATGTGGTGGGCTAGCTTGACGGTTCATGCTCCAACAAGAATGCGTTTTACTGCAAATACATCATAAGAGGGTTCTGCTCTGTGACAAGGAGTCTCTGCCAACTCAGACGGGTGCCCTGTGTTCAAGAAGCTCAAGCAAGGAGGCAAGGATTACACCAAGATCAAAAGCTTAGAGCCAGATGGGCCTGGGTTCCAGACCAGTTCTGTCACTCCCAGTTAACACAGGGCAAGACGTCTCACTGCTCTAAGCCTCAGCTTCATCTCAGGGCTCACGTGGGGATCAAATGAGGTAATACGTGTAGACTGCTCAGCATGGTGCCTGGCACATCTTAAGTTCTCAACAGTTGATGGCTTCAAAGAAAAACAACAAAATAAGCAAACAAAAAACCCTAACCCTATCCTCTTGTTCCTGCACTTGAGAAACCAACTCTATAGAAGAGTACTTGTCATTCCTGAGAAATAGTGGCCACCATGCGAACATTTCCTTTTGAAGAACTGTGGTCACTTTCTTTCCTGTTTGACGATCAGTGGGGGATGAGAGAATTGAGAGACACACAGCCCAATGACCCCTGATGTTGTGACAATGACCCCGTCAGGCTCACTCTTCTAAAATCTGTCACAAAAAATGATGGAAGTCACTCACATTCCCATCCAGTTTGAACACTTTTGAAGTCATGCTAAACACTGTAAAAATTTTAATACATTTTTTCTCTCTCCCATTGTAAAAATAATGCAAATGTTCCTGAACATTTGGCAAGTTCGGAAATCTACAAAGAATGGGAAAAACATCCATCTATCTATAATGTTAACCACCTAAGGAAACTGAATGTTAACAACTTAAATACATTTCCTGCTAGTCTTTTTATGCTGTATATTCAGTTTCACTATATGTTTTCCTCCCATGACATTTACTTTACAAATCTAGTTTTTCATGCTCAGAACATTTTCCCAATAATGGCCATATTCAGGTTATTTCCAATTTTTTCATGTTTATAATAACACCGCTATGACCATCTTTGTCACTAAAACCTTGTCTCATTTTTCATCTTTAGGGTGAGAGATAAAAACAATGATAACAATAATCTGTACTTTTCCTCTTTTTAACAATCACATACCTATAATTACTTGTTTGCTGTTGTTGTATTGAATCTTTGGTTAACTAGATATGTTAAATGGTATTTTATTGTCTCCTTACATACAAGGCATTTCTTTGATTACTGTAAGGTTAAATAATTTTTTTAGGGACTTCCCTGGTGGTCCAGTGGTTAAAACTCTGTGCTCCCAACACAGGGAGCGTGGGTTTGAGATCTGGACAGGGAACCCAGGTGGTGCAGCCAAAACACAAACAAACAAAAAACTTTTTTTACTATCAGCCACTTATACTATCTCTTTCATGAATATTCCAATGTCTCTTTCCTCGTTAATTTTTATCAGTGTTTGTATGTTTTTCTAATTCATTTGTATGATGAGCTCTATGAGCAAGAAAAATATTAATCACCTAACTATTTACCTCAAATATCTGCTACATGAATTTAAAAATTAAACACTTCTTTTGATAATTATGATTTTAATAGTCCTCCCAGAGATAAAACTTGGCTTTCACCAGTTATCTATTCAAGCAGCCTACCTGAGAATTTGCACCAGAATCTTCTTTTTTGGTCTTTGGTGGTACCTTTGTGCCTATATTTTTAAAAGAAAAATCAAAACTTCAGATGTAAAGACCATACAGCATTGGGGAAAAACTTTGGGAGGAAAGTGAAAAGTCTGGGATTCCAGATCAGTCTCTTCATGTACTGGCTACTAGCTTTGCCAGGCCAGTACAAACTACCCTCTCTGGGTTTGTTTTCTTTACTGTAGACCGAAAGAGGAAATACATTAGTTATACTCTATAGGCCATTTCTGTTTAAAAGTTGATGACTCTTTTTTTTGGCCATCTCTAATATGAAGCTTCCAATATAGCTAATATGAACGGCTTCCCTGATAGCTCAGTCAGTAAAGAACCCGCCTGCAATGAAAGAGACCCCTGTTCAATTCCTGGGTTGGGAAGATCCGTTGGAGAAGGGATAGGCTACCCACTCCAGTATTCTTTGGCTTCCTGTGTGGCTCAGCTGGTAAAGAATCCGCCTGCAATGTGGGAGACCTGGGTTCCATCCCTGAGTCGGGAAGATCCCCTGGAGAAGGGGAAGGCTACCCACTCCAGTATTCTGGTCTGGAGAAGTCCATGGACTGTGTAGCCCAGGTTGTCACAAAGAGTTGGACATGACTGAGTGACTTTAGTAAAAAAAATATGAAGCTACTGTTAATTATCTAAAACACAAAAACCAGCTCTTTGAGAGACTGCCACAATAATGACTATCCCCAAAATGACAAATACCATTTAAAAATAATTTTTCCTTCTACCTTAAAAAAATATGGCAATGTGGATTGTTATTCAACTTAAGTATTAACCTATTACCTGGTTTATTTGAATTAGGATCAGTCAGACAGTCAGTTCAGTCGCTCAGTCGTGTCCGACTCTTTGCGAGCCCATGAATCACAGCATGCCAGGCCTCCCTGTCCATCACCAACTCCCGGAGTTTACTCAAACTCATGTCCATCGAGTTGGTGATGCCATCCAGCCATCTCATCCTGTTGTCCCCTTCTCCTCCTGCCCTCAATCTTTCCCAGCATCAGGGTCTTTTCCAATGAGTCAACTCTTCACATGAAGTGGCCAAACTATTGGAATTTCAGCTTCAACATCAGTCCTTCCAATGAACACCCAGGACTAATCTCCTTTAGGATGGACTGGTTGGATAGAATTAGGATAGTACACAATAAAAAACCATATTCTCTATACTCACTTAAAACATTTGTACCAGAGGTGGGATGATCCTCAATGAGTTCCACAAAGTTAAGGGGGAAGATCCCAGATCTGTCTCCAAGTTCTCCTCTCGCCCACTCATCATTCACATACTCTTTAAGAATAATAATTTCTCCCTCTGAGAAACTTAACTCGTCCTTCTGGTCTCCAATATACTCAAATCGAGCAATACACCTTGGGCCTCTGAAGAAAGATCAGATTTTTGGGTTAAATTAGGCAGTACTAACTTTCAAAATGCCTGGAAACCCTCATTTAATCTTTCAGTGAATATTTATTTTGTATTTACTTTGGAACAAGATATAAGAGGCATAATTTAAAATTTCCATGAAGAAGACTAAGCTACATTTCTAAATGACAGTCCTTACTTTGTAGATACAAGCCTGTTTCACTCAGAAAGGCTAAAGTCACGGTTTCTAGTACATGCAGAATGCCAGAGAAGCAACTAGTGGTTAGTTTAGGTTGTCACATCTTTTGATCACCTTTTCATGACAGAATCTCCCCAGTCTCCATGTTTTTGTATCCCTGGGCCACAGTAATCCAGGGCTGAGTCTGAACCCTCTCAAGTCATAAACGCACTGAGTTTAGACATGTTAACCCCGAGGATCTCAGGGCAAGACATCAAGCTTCCATGGCAGAAAAGCAATGGGCATCAGCTGGGCAGGGTAGATGCTTAAGATATGTTGAATCAGTGAGTTCTGTATATAGATAAATGGTCTTCAAAACTAGGAGGTTCAAAGAAAACACACTCGACATATTATCTTACAATATTTAATCTTATACCTAACACTGTTGTTTTAAAATGATTTTTGTATCTCCTTTAAAAAGGCTTCAGTTCTGAGAATTGGAACAATCCCTAAATGCTCTGCAATTCTGACTGATAATAAGATTAAAAAAGACATGAAATTGCATCCCTCGAAGACATGACTGAATACCAAACCTTCGATTTGAGGTTTCAGAAAGGAAGTTTCAATGGCAATGACTAAGGAGAGGCAATTGCCTGAAAAGAAAAGGTTGGTACTGGCTGCAATCAAAGTCTGATTTAAGTCAGGTCAATGGATCAACGGCTATGAAAGCCCACTTTAAATTCAACCTGCTGACACAGTAAACACCGCTTAAAAATAGGAGAAAAGCGGAACCTGAAACAGAATGAAACTATTGTGGTCTCGGAAGTTTTCTTATTTGTGATAACCTTTGCATTTATTTTCTGAAGTCCTCAGAGAGCGTATCTTCTTATGTCTGACCTATTCAAAGACAGGTTTACAGTCTTCAGGAGGTACTGAATTCTATTAATTTGCTCATTTAACTGGAATATAAAGTTGCCTTGTGGCAATGTTTTAAATCACAAAGGAGTTACAATGATGCATAAAAGGATACATAAATTCACTGAAAGGTCTTCAAACATAAAAGAAGACTCCTCCAAATTAACTCCTCCTTTACTTTCTTTTATGTCCTCTCAAAAACAAAACAATACAAAATACCTAGCAGATTTGTAGACTTCATATTTCTATTAGGTTTAAATATTTTCTATTGTTGGAGGAGAGAGTGGGCTCCTGTCTAACACTCGGAAATGAACTGTCTGAGGAGACACATGTGCTGACAAAGCAAGAACCATTATTGGGCAGGGGCGTGGGGGTGGAGAGCGGATTATTGGGAAGGGGCGTGGGGGTGGAGAGTGGCGGGGTAAGGGAACCCAGGAGGACTGCTCTGCCTCGCGGCTGGCAGCCCCAGGTTTTACTGTAATGGGTTAGTCTCCTGGTGGTCTCTGTGCAACGATTCTGACTCAGGGTCCTTCGTGGTGGCATGTGCACTGCTCAGCCAAGATGGATTTCAGCAGGAAGGATTCTGGGAGGTTGGCAGGACATATTACAGTCTGGCATCTCTTCCCTCCTTTTGGCCCCTCCCAAATTCTTCCAGTTAGTTTTATAAGACATATTATGGGCAGGCATCTCCTCCTTTTTTGGCCTCTCCCAGATTCTCCCAGTTAGTTTTCATGCTTCTTTTCGGGACCTCCTGTTGTGAGACAACTCGTTCAAGTGGTTATTGTCACGCCTGGTCAAGGTAGGTGGTTTTGGTCAATGGTTCCCTAACACTATGACAAAAAGTATTTGAACTTTCTAGAAATAAGTTGGTAGATAAATACCAGAAGGCCAACACAAAATGCAATGGATGATGAAACCTCTCTATTCAGACAAAGTTAGGCTGTGGGAAGCACCAGGACAGACTGTGGCTGTCTATATGCCCTATATTGGTACAGAGAGTTGCTATTATCAGCGTGCTGCAATTTCATCAGAATTTTTAAACAAGTCGTTTTCCTCATAATTAAAAAGATACACTAAGAATCTGAATAATCATGCATCTGAAGTGTTAAAGCTTGTTAATTCTTTATGATATAAATGCTCATATCCTTTGTGTTTTGTGCAAAAGAACACAAGTAAAACTTACTTAACACAATGAGATGAGATGGATTCCCTTTTCCCATTTCCTCCTGGAACATCAATCTAGTAAAGACAAAAATCAAGGCAACAATTGTATTATTTCAGATTTTCATAAGATAAATTTAAGGTTAAGTAATTAGGAAATTTACAACTGAGGTTAACCAGTTTAGCTAGGTATTAAATCTACAAAACATACCATAGATGCTAAAAAGGTATGAAATCCAGAATTTGGGTTTTGAAAAAACTCCATAACTTGTGATGTAGCCCTCCTTGTAGAGCCAATCAATCTTCCTCTTATTTGCTGGAATAAGCACATCATGTCGCTCCCCCCCTAACTGGGGCTCTCTATCTCATATCCCCTAAGTTGAAAACATCAGGTGAGGAGGGCTTAGCATAGAAACTAGGCATAGGTACTAGCTAGACACTTAGCCAAAGTGTTGGTAGAATTCTGCAATATTTCCATGACCCCAAATAAAATCTTTTAACCAAACTTGTGATTCTGTCCATTTTCATAACCCTGGGCCATTTTTTCCCCTGCACTGTAAGCAGGGAAGGAAGAGAGGACTTAGCACTCAGTGAGCATCTAGCGGTGAGCATGTTATATAATACCTCATCTACAAGGCTGAGTAGAGCTAAGTTGTGATGAAGTATTTGACCGTAATGCACTAAGTCAGAAAACTACTTAAAGCTTTGAGGTTTACATTAACTAAATCAGTGCCCTTCTTGATGAATTCCAAAAGTTTGAAGTTTTAAAACAACTTTTTAAACTTGCAGGCTTAGAAATAACACACCAATAATGTGGCAAATACCGTGTGACTGATTTCAGTGTGGTAACTGTGCTTTTTAAAGTACGGCTACAGCCCTTCTTGCTTCTACTTGAGCTTAGTCTCTGGCATTGCCGTGCAGACTGACTCATGTAGAAGCAAGAAGGGAAACCTTACACCACTGACAATTTCTGGAGGTCTTGTGAGATTAAGCAAGACCAAAAAAAGAAAAAAAAAACAGTATGGCTACACTGGGCAGAAGAAAAATGAGGAAGAGTGCTAAAACCAACATTATTCTTAATATTAACTTAAAGAATGTGGTTGGATTTCTCCAAAGAATCAGGGTATTTATATATCAGACAACTTGTAAGACCCACATTTTGTAATTCCAGAGACTCAACCTCATTTATACTTGAAACATATAGGTTATCTGTTATGTCTGTTTGCTAAGCTTCTGGTGTAATCGAAAATCATTTGCTTCCCCTCCTCAAATAAGTGGTTAATGCTCAACTATTTAAGCTAGCTTTATTGATATTTTTCAGTATCAATAAGTTATATCAGCAACTGAGCCATTCTCTTCCCATTGATATAAATGCTCGCGTGGCAGTCTTATTTCATCTCTATGTTTCTCAGCCACCCAGGCTTAACACTCAGGGCTCTACCATAGGGCCTGCTTTCACCAGTTAGACTGTGAGGGTGTATAAAATTCTAACACTTTAATATAATATTTTCCAGTCAGATTTGAAACCATTAAGTGAAAAACCATTCCCTCCAATGAAAGTACTTTAGTATTGCAAATCTATTTTTTTAAGAAGAAACTTCTCATCTATTTGTCTATGGCTGTACTGGGTCTCTGTGCTGTGCGGGCCTCCTCCAGCTGCGGTGAGCGGGAGCTGCTCCCTGGCTGCGGGGCACGGATCCTCACTGTGCTGGCTGCTCCTGCCGCAGGGCACCGGGCCTAGCACGCGGGCTCTGGAGCCTGGCCTTTTGGCAGTTCGCCACATGGCTTAGTTGCCCCACGGCATGTGAGATCTTTCCAGGCCAAGGGCTGAACCTTTGTCCTCTGCATTGCAAGGTGGACGCTTAACCACTGGACCATCAGGGAAATCCTATATATATATATATATATATTTTTTTTTTAAGATGGAAATAAATGGCAATGGAAAGAATGAAAGAAATCAATAACGAAATGCACTCCAAAGAAAAAGAAAAGTGGTACCATCACCTCAGAGAACAAACATTCCTATAGGACAATCCAGTATCACTTAATTCTTGTTTGCTGAATGTTTCAAAGGATTAACATATACCCTCAAGTGCTTATCAACCCTCTAAGAATAGCTGTGGACCTGCAGTAGCTTTTTACCTTAGGATTTCAGATAGCATTTAAGCATTAAGTTCTAATACTCCATAATATATTAATAATTAACCACTACCTAGTTGAACAAACCTTTATTTCTCAATTTTCAAATACTAAATGAATTAATAGAAGAGACAGAACCAGAAGCCAAGAATCTAGGCATCTGGTTATTTTTTTCAAACTGTAAATTACATGGAATCCATTGCATATATGACCGATTTCAACATGCACAACCTACTTACAATCACTTTGACGTAGTTGGCCGGAAATACACCAGTCTGGTTTCTACATTTCCCTCTGTACCAATCTGTATCTATTTTTTCCAGAAGATGAACAATTTCTCCAGAAGTGAGGCTCAAATCATCAGCTTGCTCTGTACGATAGAATTATAATGATGTGTGATCAATTACTCTGGTTGCAGAGCTGATTAAAGCAGAACACAATGTGGCATTCAGTTCTGTCCACCGAGGCAGTATGTTCTACTGATTCTGAGAACAGATTATACTAATTGAATTGACATAAAAAAAATTTTTATTTTCCTGGATATTGCTATTATGAGTTTTCCCTTTTAAGATCAAATGAGATATATTTACCAGGCACTGACTGATAGGGAATGCTTGAAAAACACACACACACACAAAACATTGTGCTTGCCAATGATTCTTCCTGTGCCGACATACACGTCTGCTGAATACATATTTTAACGATGAAACCATTTTATAGACACGGTATAATATTCATATGATTCTCAACCATGCTTAAAAATCATTTCAATCTCAAAATACTAAGGGAGTCCTACAGCTCTTTAGCATATAAATTTACTTACACTGAAATAAAAATCAGTCTACCAAGTGGACAAAAAAAAAGGTATAAATAAATCGGGAATTTATTTTATTTGAAGCCTTGGATATAAAAGGTATTTAAAAATTGATGACAAAAATGTATATTTTCATTTCATAAGTAATAGCTGAGCTATGTGTGTTGGTTTTACAACCCTTAGCAGAAAAGAACTTCACTTAGTAAATCTGAATTAATTTCATTATGTTGGGAAAGAGTTAAAAAGTTTCCAACTGGTAGGCAGTTTGCTATTTGTTCATGTGTAAGTGAAACACTGTCTCCTCCTCCTCTCTCTCTCTCACAGGGAGTATCAAAAGCAAGGGTATGCAGGTAAGCTTTCTGGCATGGCTGGGTGCAGTCAACTCTTCCTGAAGGTGGGGTGATGGATAAGATGACCTGTCCAGTCTAGGGCTCCATCGGTACAGAAAGTGAAGACAGATGTCCTTGAGAGGTTAACCTGGGGAGGATGCCCGATCCTGGATCCTAAGTTTCTACCGCTTTGTCATCTCTGTCCTTACCTGCTGGGAAATCATGAAGGACGACAGCGTGGGGGGCACCAGTGTCAACAGGCTTCTGAGGGCAGCTCGGATCCTGCGGGAGCAAACAGAGCCGTGAATGGCGCGTGCATGATGCATGCTGGATTTATTATTCACTCGGAGACCTTTGTTTGTTTTTTCCCTCATTGAGGTCCTCTTGACACAATTATATTATGAGTACAAGATGCAGACCACACAGCTGAGCCAAACAAGGGAAGCATGACCGAGTGGAAAAGGTGTGAGTCCCTGCCGGAGGAGAAGAGAAATAACTCAATTATGATACCCCCCAAGCACTTTTCTTAAACTGAGAGAGTAAACAAAAGGACATTAAACTTAAGTTTTTGTTGGTTGTTTTTTGTCTTTTAAAGCAGTATCTATTCTACACTGAAGTAGTCATTTTTACTTCTTTACCTTTCAAGGATCGCTTTTTCCATAAACTGTGATCAGAACTAAACCTTAAGAACAAGACCTTAAAAGTATTCTCTTCGTTAAGACGGAAAAAGAAGGAAGTTCTGCAATTTACACTCTTGCCTTTTGTAATGAAAAGAGCTAAAGACTTTTACAAAAGTATAATTCACAAAAAGTAAAATCCATTTCATTTATTACCATTTAACTGAATGCCTTCTCTAATTTGAAAGCCAATGCTACCTCTCATGCCTGGCCTGGATTTTCTATTTAATCTGAATGGTTTATTCAATAGTAATTCTAAGTAAATTAGCAAACAGAATTCAATATTCTCCACCCATCTAACCAGCTGCTTAGACTAGCCAGAGGAGAAGCCAGATTTGAAGAGTGACTGTTTCTTAATGACAGGCAGTTGTTATCCACATCATCATCATCATCATCATCCAATCTGCTGATGGACATTATCTGGAATTATAACTTACTTTCTTTGATTTTTAAATGAAAGTGATTTTTTGTGCCTTTCTTGTCTCTTTCTTCCTTTAATGGCTCCTGCCCATCAGGGACTGCCCCTTTCCTGACCATGATGTTCAGCTGGTCAGACATCAGGGGTCGTGGTCCACCCCCTCCACATCCGCCCTGCAGCTCCTTTGGGCAACTCTTTTCTGAATCAACTGTAAGGCAGCTGCGGAGGCACGCTGCCTGCTCTCACATCAGCTGAACTTAATACAGGAAGGGCTAAGGCAGCCTGGTGTATCAGTTTACCAAAGCAACACCAACATTGTCTTAGAGGCTGCTTGGTGCTTTTCCTTAAATAAATGGGCATAATGGGAATTTCAGGGATTGCGGAAATGAACTATGAGATATGTTAAGCCTGGAGGGGCTTTAAAAATTACTCTTTACCCAATTTAGCATATGTGTGGTTTTCATTTTTTTCTGATTTACATCTGTAGACAAAGGGATGACTGCTCCAATAAATGGTGTTAGGCTAGATGACTTTACATCTGGAAAAAGTGAAGTCAGAGGCCTACCCCACACCAAACATAACCATGGACCTGCAGATGGACCAAAGCCCACACACCAGCCAAAGAGGGTAGAAGGGGGACAGTGGGCAGCCGGTGCCTCCCGCTCTTGCCTCCCTGCCTTCTGTGCACGGCTGTCCCTTTGATGCTGCTCATCACCTTGGCCTGGCAGGTGAAGGGTGAGAGGGCAGGTGAAGGGTGAGAGGCCAGGCGAAGGGTGAGAGGCCAGGCGAAGGGTGAGAGGGCAGGTGAACGGGGCTGGCCACAGGGGTCGGAACAACTCAGGGGCAGGAACACACCATTAGAGTGGATATCTGGGAGGGAAATCTAACATATTTCAAAGTTCTTTCTAGTATGACTATAATAGCTAATACTAATGAGTAATGAGAATAGTTAATATACACTGTTTGCCCACTATGCACTATTCACAATACTAAGCACCTTACAGATGCTAAATTACCTAAATTAATTAGCTCATTTAATTTTTTAAGGATCTTTGAGATATAAGGCACATGCCATAAAATTTAAGCATTTAAAGTGTACCTAATTTTAGCATATTCACAGAATTGTGTGACCACCACCACAATCTAACTTTAGGACTTATTTATCATCCCTCCAGAAGCCTCGCACCCATTGGCCATCACTCCCCCTCACCCTTCCCCCAGCCCTGGGCAACCACTAATCTACCTCTGGATCTACCTATTCTGAACTTTCATATAAATGAAATCATAACAATAAATCAATTCTATCATCAACTCTGAGGATTCTCATATCTACTTCACACATTTTAAAAATGAGGTTCAGAGAGGTCAGATCACTGCCTCCGACGGTGGGAGGTCAACTGAGACCCACAGTGCAATCCCTTGCCTCCCTGCTCGGTCAGCCCAGCCTTACCTCATAACCTGCAACGTCTTCTGTTGACTAAGGCAGGGGAGAGTAACACAGTTTTAGAGATATTTACCTTCACACTAGGCTTTCAAGTAGGTTTTACTTTTCTGAAAAGGGTAATGTTAGCCATGACCCAGAGCCTACGAGAGGCCCCACTGAGGTTTCACCAGCTGTGGGTCATTGGTGGTCATGACTTCTGCAAGTCATCACAAGCATGAGTAAAGTAACGTTCCAAGTGACAAAACCATGAATGTTTATAAAAGAACAACTCGTAATTTTTTCAGCTTCTATTTTTCTATTTCTTTCTTTCAACTTCTATTTTCCTCTTCAGAAAGGAAAGCTTTCTGACAGTACAATCCCCATGGCTACCCATCAATGTTTCAAAAGAGAGGAAGCACAGTGGTGACAGAAGGGTAATGCTGCCTCAAAGCAGAGAAATGAGTGACAGAAGAACTTTCCCCATGTGGACTGAAGTCAGAAATGTCAACATTCCAGCTGCAGCCAGCATAACACATATCTTCTCTGCTCTCCGAAATTCCAATCTTTAGTTTCTTAGCAAACCTCAAATGATAGACTGCCTTCCAAGAAGAACTGCATGAGATTATGAAAACTAGGATGAATGACAAACCAAACACTTTAACTTGGCTTAAGTGACTGATAGGTCTCATTTTTCATGTTTGCTACATTACCTAACAGACAGTGAAAATTTTAACTGGATACCCCAAGCAGCTCTTTAAAAAATATGCCTCTGTAAATTGTTCAATGGCATTTTTCTTGCTCAACAAATGACCTTCAATAATCATTGTATTCTCCTAGGCTCCACAGATTTGTTAGGCCTAAATAGTGACTTCAGAGTGTTGTAACATTTCATTTCATTATTTTATGAGCTATGATCAGAGAAACAAGGACTATACTCATCTTAAATCTTACAGGGAAGCTTTTTAATGTCAGCCTTTATAGGGCCCTCCTTAAAATAATTATCCATTCTGCTAGAAAACCAATCTCTAATACTTTGGTAAATGTATTTACATTATTTCAAAAGTAAATAGGTCTCACAGCTGAAAATTAATGACTGAGTGTCCTGGATGCTGCGAGTCAGCATGATATGAGGAAGGCAGACCACACGGTAGTCACTCTGTATCAAAGTGATTAGTGTGGCAGTGGCAAGTCTCTTAGAAGTAATTTATTCTTAAAATGGAATAAAACGCTACTGTAATTTTTACTCTGGTTAAAATAAACGTGCTAATAAAAACCTGAGGATGAGCTATAATTAATAGTTCTATGAAATGTGCTTCCATGTGTGATATGAGGATGGTACAGTATTAATTCCTCACGTTTGGTCTGCTGCTAAGATGTTCGTCAAGTGGCGTGATGATCTTCATCTGAGACAGGTGAACTCTGCCGGCATCATCTCCCTTCCGGCACTCCAAGTAATTACCTTCTGCCTGCTTCAGTATCACCAGGACGTCCCCACGCTGTAAGGTAAAATACCACTCTCTGAAGCAATTATTATTTAATAAAACATTATTACTTTTTCCACATTTTAATCTTTGGAGCCTAAAGCATTTAATAATGTGTAAAACAGTAACAGAGGCCAGCAAATTTTTAAAAAAATTTGTCAGTAAAGAAGGAGCTCTACTTTACCTTACAAGAAAGTTCTCCAGGGTTTTGTGGGATGACATCTTCATTGGCAATTCCATGAGGCACAGACATCTTGAACATAAACCAATATAAAGGATTATTCATAATCAAATAACTGCATCCTAAGAGGCCGATCATGTGGGGATTTGGCACACGCGCCTGCAGCATAACTTCCATCGGGTAAACTCATCACCCAGCTTCCTCACGCTCAGGATCTAGTTGGCGGGGCTGCTGCCTCTCAGGACACGCAGAGTCCAGGGGGCCTGGGGCTGAGCCCACAGGACTCGGGGGCTGAAGGGGCCTAAGGTCCCCCTTTCACAGTCACAACCGGGAAGGTCCACTCCACCAGGTTCCCAGAGCGTCATAAGGGCGAGTGCCCGGCATTGACCTCACAGCCTGCAGTTCAGCGGGGCTGACGGGGGACTGGTGTGTCCCGTGTGGGGTTGGACAGGCTGCTTCTACCTGCCTTCAGTCTCTTTCCCTGCAGTCTCTTTGGTGCCACTGCCTGACCTCAGTCATTCCTGGTCACTCAGCCTTGTCTGATCTGAGAATGGCTCTTAGGTCTGTAGCCTCCTCTGGCCAGAGGACTCTGCCCCCTGCCTTGGTAAATCCTGGCTGATAAACACGGGTTACAGGGCTGTGGAGTACAAAAGGCGTACCCAGAAGATGTGACCACACAAGCTCATGTAGAACAAGAAAGGGAGGCTGCCCTCGGGAGCAAAGACACAGCACAAGGGTGCGGGCTAGGAGGCGGGGAGGATGGGGTGGCTTCCAGAAGCTGTGTCAGGGCGTCAGGGTGCCAGAGTGGCCCTGGGGGGCAATTTAATGGTGGGGCACCCACAGGAAAGATGAGGGGTTTAAGGAGTTATTTTGTAAATTAGGAGGCGGGGAGGATGGGGTGGCTTCCAGAAGCTGCGTCAGGGCGTCAGGGTGCCAGAGTGGCCCTGGGGGGCAATTTAATGGTGGGGCACCCACAGGAAAGATGAGGGGTTTAAGGAGTTATTTTGTAAAGAGACATACTCCTCTAATCTATCACCATTTTGATTTATTAATTTCTTTACTTTTCTGGCCTGGAGAATCCCATGGACTGTACAGTCCATGGGGTCGCAAACAATTGGACACGACTGAGAGACTTTCACCTTCACTTCACTTTTAAGTTATTCAAATGCTTTATTGACATTATACAGCTAGGCTAAGACCTATAAGCAAAATCTAATACCCCCAATGAGGCTGTTAACATGGAACAGGCGAGACTTTACAATTAGTAACATGACTTTCTTTCTCTTTTTTTGGCTGCACAGGCTGGGCTTTGTGAGAGCTTAGTTCCCAGACCAGGGATTGAAACCACGCCCCTTGCAGTGGAAGCATGTATTCCTAACACTAGACACCAGGGAAGTCCTGTAACACTATTTCCTTAGTATGGCTTAATGGTAAAGAGCATGGGCTTAGACCCAGTCAATCTGTGTTCCAATCTTGGCTCCACCATTACTGGCTTTGTGATCCCGGTCAGGCTATTTAATCTCTCTGAGTATTATTTTCTTCATCTGCCTAACAGAAATAATAATAGTATCCACTTCACAGGGTTGATGTGAGGAACAAATAGTTATTTAATATATATAAAGTGCTTCAAACAATGCCTGACTCATGAGTACTCAACACATCAGCTGCTGCTTTTATTATTTTTAAGTAAGCTATCCAAATTAAAATTTTATCAGTTTAAATGAATATGAATATATATGAATATCATACCTCCTTCTTATCTGTCTATATCATTCCCTTAAGAAGAGGGAAAAAAAATCCTAAATGGTTTAAAATGAAAACAATTTCCAGCTCAATGATGGAACTGTGGAACAATATGAAATGAATAAATGCTGTTCTTGTTAAGAGCTACTGTTGTTCAATTGTTTAAAAAGTGCCAACACTCCAGCTCCTTATCATTTTAATTTGCTCTAGATTTCATCAGGTTAACCTGACCAAAGTAGAGAGAACACATCAACTCCAAAGACAAAGGCTTAAGGTCACAGGATAAGAAAAACATTCAAAGAGAACAAATTTAATATCTCAACTATCTTGATTATTGATGAAAACTTCTAACTGGTAACTATTAAATGGACCATGATAATCAGGTTTAAAAAAGTGGAAAATGAGGGAAAAACCATTTTAATAAAAACTTTCTTTCCACTTCACTTCAAATTTTACTCTGTGGGCAAGGAAGATATAAGATATAAACTATACTGAGATGTGAATATAATATCTGTCAGGTACTCTCATCAGTATAACCTACCGGGTCAGGTTCTTCAGAATTTCTGTTTGGTCAAGCCAGACAGCAGACTGCAATCCCTGCTGCCCTGCTTCCTTTTCCTATGTTTCTAATAATGAAACTGTGCTTTAACGACTTAGGTTTTATCACAGCCTATTTGTCTAAAACACTCTAGCATCAAGGGGCAATTACACATCTGTCTCACCAACTTTTTCTAAGGAACAGGGGTCTTATATATACTTTAGGACAAACCTCTGGACCAGAAACATTTTTAAAAGCTACATTTACCATGTACTTCCTGTAGAGAGGGTGTCCTGGTTTGGGACGCGGGGGCAGTACTGGATCTTGATTTTTAAAGACTTGACTCTTGGCTTTTGAGAGTCCAGGTGCCAAGTTACTTGTTTTTTTCTGAAGATCCATGTCAGAAGAAGACCGATTAAAAGGCAGCTTTTTATTTGATGTTCTGGTTGCTGGAAGTTTAGGGGGAGGTGGTCTCTCGGGGGCCCCCTTGGGAGGAGGCTGTCGAGCTGGTATGACTTTTCCATTTACAGGCCTGGAATTCAATGTGGCAGCTGTGAGTCAGGATTTGATCGATGGTAGGTTCTGCTTTGTCCTTTCTTACACACACACACACATACACACACACACACACAGGGCTTTCTGCTAATGTAATACCATTTACTAAAACATGTTGGGTATGCTATTTTTCAGCAAATGACTGCTGCATTAAACATTATATTATTAGAAGAAATGCCATGATGTTCCAGCTTCCTCTTATCTTGCACTAGAGATTCATTAGTTCAAGACAAACAAGTATTTACTATCATGAGCTCTCTAAGGCCCCATTTGCTCTTAAACACACCATGACTGTTTCAGAAAACTAAGCACTTTCTACCAAAGCCTGAGATGGAAAGCTTATAATAAGATATCATGTAGATGTGATGGGGTCTTCTAGATGATCAGGAAGGGAAAAACAAACTCTAATGTTCATGTTCTAGGAATCATTACTAAAACTCTAATTTAGATTAAAAGAAAGCTAGTTCTGAAAATAGGATAGCAACACCAACCAATGGACTTTTATAAACAATGGAGTTTGATAATAATAATAATAACAATAATGAAATAATAAAATTTTATAAACAAATTTTATAAACAGTGGAGTTTGAGCAAACTCTAGGAGATGGTGAAGGACAGGGGGTCCTGGCATGCTGCAGTCCATGGGGTCACAAAGAGTCAGACACAACTTAGCAACTGAACAACAACAATATAGATTCGTGTGTGTGCTCTGTGAGTTTTTAGATTGTGTTAAACAAGAAACAGAGATTCCTACAACCTGCTGTCAGAAACAGACTGTGGGCCTGGGTAAATTTGTGAGTTATTTCTAAAAAAGATAGAAGGCCAACAACACAGAAAAGAAAGTCTGGTCTCGGAGTCATTAGATTTTCTTTAACTGACTTTTTAGGGGTTTTCCCACGCTTACCGACCTGGGTGGCAACCTTGGGGGTCCTCGCACAAAACCTCCTGATTGACCAGCAATGTCAGATTCCTGAAAGAATCAGAGAATGGTTTTCAGTTAAGGTTAATCTGAAACAAGGCTTGTCAAGAGGAATCATGGACAAATTTTTGGCTAGATCTATAAGTGGAAAAGTAGCTGAGTTACAGAAAGGAGATTAGAAGAGTTTTCTCATCCTGGTCCTCACTGTCCATGTCACAGTGCAACTGAGAACAGAGAGGCAGAGGCGGGGGGTCTGTTGCTGTGGACCATGGCCCACCCGATGGCACTGGTGACTGCACACCCAGCATGTTCTAAGGGATTAAGGATGATGCTTAACTCACGATAGGTTACAAAGTGCCAATTTAAGCAGGCACTATAGGGAATTTTTAAAAAATATGGCATTTATTTATCCCATGACAATACTTAAGATATGCAGTGCTCCTAAGTTTAAACATATAGTGAGGTGGTTGATTAGTGTGTTTTACCTAGAACAGCCAAATCTCTCATACTGGCTGGTTTCCACCTTGTGTGGTGGGTTTTGAATTGGAAGGAAGTGGGAACATAACAGAAACTTAAGGAGTGGCCTGAAAGGAGAGCATGTGAGAAGAACAGAGAAGGCTGGAGAAAGCAGAGAGCTTATACCACAAGAATCCCTTGGAAGAAACGGAGCAGCCATCATGGTCAACAGAGGAGTCCGAAATGCAGTACTTGGACAAAATCTCAAAAATGACAGAATGATCTCTGTTTGTTTCCAAGGCAAAGCATTCAATATCACAGTAATTCAAGTCTATGCCCCCGAACAATAATGCTAAAGAAGCTGAAGTTGAATGGTTCTATGAAGACTTACAAGACTTTCTAGAACTAACACCCAAAAATGATGTCCTTTTCATTATAGGGGACTGGAATGCAAAAGTAAGAAGTCAAGAAACACCTGGAGTAACAGGCAAATTTTGCCTTGGAGTAAGGAATGAAGCAGGGCAAAGGCTAATAAAGTTTTGCCAAGAGAATGCACTGGTCATAGCAAACACCCTCTTCCAACAACACAAGAGAAGACTCTACACATGGACATCACCAGATGGTCAACAC